GAAAGTTCCTGATTGTTCCTAATTCAATCATAGGGAGGGATGTGCTGGCTACACATCGAGTCCCATAGACATCAGGAGCTGGATAGAGGCAATTATTCTCGCTCCTGGGGAGCGTGGTGAGGACCAATCCTCGCCTGTGTACTCCGAACTCTAGGGAAAGAGTCCTTGTGTCGGCTGAGTGTGTTGGGGTTTCCTGATCGTGCTGGATGCTCCTTCTCCTTTGGTTTCCTGAGATCCTTTTCCGATATTAATGGTTCTGCTTCATCGGGAGATTTAAAGGCTGAGACTCTCGTTATGTGAACTGCTGCGTCTCGAGATTCCGAGCCTCCCCCCCTACGCGTCCGTCTTGGCAAATTCCCTTTATCACCCCACGTAATCCCCATCTCATTCGATACCCCCCCCCGGGAGGGCCCAATCGTTCCTTAGCTCGAGCCTTCAGTGGGCGTATACCTTATGGGATTGGCGATTCGACTTCTGTGTATCAGGCGCCCTCCTTCTGGTTTCCTCCTTCTACGAATAATTCGATATAAACCATAAATACTTCCCATTCCTAGCACCAGTGCTAGGACTCCTCCTACAACTTCTCCGATATTCATAGACCCAGAAACGTTCCGCTCAGGTTCGGCCGAGCCCCCTGTGTCTTTGGGAGCTCCGACGGAGTTGTCCACCCGGAGCTTGGGAGCTGGGGCTGTGGCTACAAGAAGATCCTGCCCTATCTCCTCGGAGAATGATTCTTCACTGCTAGACGACTCTGACGTGGAGTTTCGGTCATTTGATCTATTGCCATCTCTAGGAATTTGAGCCTCTTCTTGAGTCGCTGGTGAGGAACTCAGACCCGAAACTTTCTCATCTTCCCTAGGCCTTGGTCTCGGAAGAGCCTCCGGTGAGTTCCTAATTGCTTCTTCTTTTTTGAAAGGCCCTTGTAAATTCGCTGAGGTCAAACTTCCCGCGGATCCTTTCGTCGCGATGATTCCTTGGTTGGGGTCTTTACTTTGCATCATTGTCACTATTCTGTCTATTTCTGGGTTCTGGCCCTTGAGGGGTGCCCTGGTGGGTTCATACTCGGGTAATTCCTTGCCTGTCTCGGCGTCCGTTATTTTGAGAGTCTTTGGGGATTCTCTTAGCTGATCCTTTACTAGCTTCTGGCCCCCTGTCGTCCAGAGGTTCAGCCTAGGTTCGCTGCTCCCCATTGTTGATCCTTTGCATGAAAACTGAGTTCCGTGGAGCTGACATGCCCCGATTTGTCTTAAACCCCAACCAGACGTCCTTATCAATCCCTTTAATCCATAATTCCTGTTATACTTACAACATTTTGTTAATCCAAAAAAGATACTTAAGAGGAAGCCAAGACTATAATACTTGGAACTCTCATCTCCGTCCAGTTCCCTCATCTCTAATAAGAACTCCTCTAAGGCCTTTAGATCCTTGTTCTGCTTCTGGCTTTGAGCTGCCTGTAGCTCTATTGCCACTGTTTCCCATACCCCATGGCATACTGACTTAATGTCTCGTAAGTCGGTAGCAGAGGCCTGTTGGTTGTTCATCAAGGCGGCTATTATGCATGCTGCCGCCATTATTATGTTCTGACCGACGCTTGATTTTGACCAAGTCTTTGTCACCCCGTCTCTTAGTATTGCCCTCCAGTTTTCCTTTTTCCACAGGAGGAGTTCATTACCTCCGTCTGTGGTACTGATTGTTTCTAGGCTTAGGGCTTCAGATATTACACAGCCTAATAGTCCTGCCCAGGTATATTCGTCACTTGCCTGACCTAACACATACTTCTTCAGTGGGCTACCTTCTCCGCTAAATTGCTGCCAATTGATGCTACCCACGCGTTTAGTCAATCCTCGAGCTGCTCTGCCTAAGAATCCTCCTTCTGCTCCCTTACTGCTCCCATATACTCCTAGACAATACTTGTGCCTCTCTATTTGACATTGGTTTGGGTGTTGGGATGCCGGTTTGTGGGACCAGCTCCTCCCTAATTCTGTCAGTCCTAGTCTCTCCATTCCTGTCCTTCCTTCTAAAATAATCCCTGCTAATCTCCCTCCTAGGGGTCAATTGCTGCTTCCGTATCTTCTATCTCTCGCCCCTGATATAGATCTTGCAGTTCCTCCTTCTTACTGGATCGCTCCTGCATTTATTCAACGGGTGGCTGATTCAGGGCCCCTCAGGCTATCTTTATCACATGGCGTATGAGTCCCCTCCCTCTACTCTTACCTCGGTGAACCCCTCCTAGGCTTCTACTCCCCCTGTGCCAGCGACTACGGATAACCTGACTTATGCTTGCCCGGCGTTGGAGGAGGGACACCACTGTTTGTTCCCCCTTCCTTTATCCTTCCCTGAAATCTCTCACAGACGCATCCTATCATTAACTTTATTTCGCTGTTTTCTCTGGTCTAGACCCTTCTGGGCGCTGTCGACTACTTAGTCCCTCTTCTGGATTCTCCTATAGCCCTCCTCCCTCCCCCTAGCTCCGATCTTGGTCCATCGGGTCAGGCCCTTTCCTTTTTCTTCCCCCTCCTCCCTCCCTTCGGTCCCGTAATTGCCGTAACAGATCTCCCCCTTATTCCTCCTAACTGGACTTGGGTCTCCCCTTCTAACTTGGGCCCGTTGCTTGGATTTTCTTAGCTTTTCTTCTCCATAAGAGACCCAATCAGTCGCCTCCTCCTTCTTATTCCTGGGGCTCGAGAACTTTCTTCTGACTCGTCCTCCTCTACCTCCTCTACTGGGGGTAGCTTGCTCATCTGCAGGCTGTAGTCGCCTCCCTAAACCTTCTACTCTGATCTTTGCCACTCCTCACCCTCCTGTTCTCTTCTGGCTGGGGATGAACATGCTGCCCACCTCCATGCCCCCTGTTCCGTCTGTCGAGTTCTTGGATTTTCTCTCGGCTGTTTGTGCCGTAGATGTGCGCTTCTGGGAATTGGTTTTCAGATGCTTTTTCTTCCTCAAGGTTCGTTAGCCCTCGGCGACTTCTCTCATCGGGGTCCTTTGGTTGCTTCAGCTGACTTCTTCTCCGTTTCCTCCTGCCTCGTGGGAGGTAGGAGGCCTCCTCTACTCTTATTCCTGTTGTGTAGTGACATCTCCTGTTTGGAGTTAGTTTCCCATAACGGGCAAATTATTTATCTCGCCTAACCTGCCCTGATACTTCCTGCTCCGACCTTCACGTTGGCGATTCTGTGCCATGCTCGCGTAGGTCCCCTTACTTACCTGGCCTTATCTCCTCCTCCGTCACCTCAGGGACTGGCATTAGCTTCCGAGGGGACGGATTCTCGTCCGCGACTAGTCGTGGGGGGATCTAGTTCCTTTCACTCGCTGTTGCAGTTTGTTCATCCGCCTTTCTCCATGATTCGATGTGGCTTGTGGCAGGCCCTTCCTTCTGACTTTAACCTCATCCTCGGGAGTCTACCGAATCTTTAAAGTTATTCATGTTTCGACTATTATCATCTTTCTATACTTTCCTGTCTTGTGCTCCTCTTAGGCTTCTAACCCCTTTCCCGGGGCTTTTAATTAGTGGTCTACTTATCCCGCTTCTTTTTGCACTTAAGATTCTTCGATTTATCCGGGATTTCTGTTGTGGGATTTCTTGAGACTTTCCCCCTCGGTTCCATCCAGCTTATTCAGAGCTGCTTTCTCTCCTCCAGAGTCCCGATTTATTTGGGGGTTTCCCTGAGTTTGTAGTTGTGACTTTCGGGAATTTCTATTCTTCTGAACTCTATTCAGCCTTCAGCTCTGGATTGTTTCGGAGTTCAACCTGAACTTCCCTCGAATCTGATGAAGTGTGAAATCTCGCTTTGTAGCTCTCCCCATATTTGTCTGATCAGGCCTCTAAACTCTTGGGCACTACCCCTACTAAGTGCGGCCGAGCTTGAGTCTAAAGGTTCATTCGACGCTGATCCCTTCGGATTCAGAGAGACGGTTCCGTTGCTTCGGTTACTACAATAAAGTTTGCCTTTGCTTGAAGTCTTTCCTGCAAGTGCTCTTGATTGTTCGATATAGTCGCTTTCTATTGTCCAAACGTCCTATCCTCCGGTTCTCCTATATATAAGCTCAAAGGGGTCCTAATTTGTTTCAGCGAGTTCATCGTCATGTTATGCTGTCTTCGGTCTATTAATCAGTATCTTCCCCTTGTTGGCTCATCCAGTGGGAGTGAAGTCACTCTGTTGTTTAATGCTGGACTCCTGTATCCTCTTCTGTTTGAGGGGGCTCAGGTCAATCCTGTCAGGAATGATGGTTCTGCTAATACTGAGTTCTATTTCGCTGGATTGAACTCCTGCAAGGGGGGAGTTGGAGAGATCCTCGGGGGGTGCGCCGATGCTGACTTTGGGTCAGTCGATTTCTCTCGGACTACTAAGTTCTTAGGGGGGGTTGCTTGGTCCTATCGGATTCTTTCGCTCCGGTAGCTTAAGGGTCTCCTCCCTCCCTTTGTTTGTAAGAGTGGGCGTTTCAGAGAGGTCTCTCCCTTATTGGTATTCTCAAGATTCAGTTTTGGTCCTTTTGACTTGGGAAGTTTGTAAAATTCTGATACTCATAGACTTGATTGTGTTTTTGTCCCATGAGGACTTTGAAAGGCTCTTAATTCTTCCCTTGAGTCCGTGTTCTAGAGGGTTGATTTTTGGAGAGAGACTCCTGTGCTTCCTTTTGGGGGGACAGGAGTTCTGGATGAGTATGCTTCACCTAGTTCTTTTTCAGGTCAGATAGTTCCCTGATGATGTTGAACTTTCTAAGGTTCTTCCTATTCTTCCTTATTTGCCAGAGATGTTAGTGTCAACTTCTCTTGGGTTCTGTTGCTAGTGAGCGCTGAGACTCTTTTTTACTTCGGGTGAGGTTACCTCCCCTGTTAATTTTCTTCTCCTGGGGAAGAAAGCTCTGTCAAGACGTGGTTAATGCTCCTCTGGTCGGCGGATTGGGTTATTCTCTTCTTCAGGAAAAAGACTCGTTTCAACGTTTCATCAGGAAGGGGGAGATCTCTCTGGCTTGTTGCTTCCTGTCCGTTCATAGACTTTTCAGATTTGAGATGTTAGGATTCGTTGAGATTTCTTCTGTTATGTCAGCTCAGGTTGAGTAGTGGACGTGTTTGGGATTATTGGTTGGCTCGGTTGGGGGAATTACTGGGACCTGTTTCTTACATCCTCTTTTGAGTTAGGGGGAGGTTGGGCTCATTTCTGGTGTCACCTAGCTTAATCCTACCAGCCTTGGCTGTTTCTAACGGCGATCCTACTCGGCTTGCCTGGGTGGTTCATGATTTGCTCGGAGATTTTCTTGGATATCCTCCTAATTTATTGTCCATGTATCCGGCTGGTGTGATGTCAGGATCTTATTAACTTGTTTGGACTCCTACCCTGCGGGATTATTTCTGTGTTTGGCTTTTTCTCTTAGAGATTCCTGTGTGGGGATCCTGGTCATCCTAGCTCCCTGTTCATGAACTCATTCCTTCCTCTAGCGGAGTCTTCGATTATTGTTGTAACTCAGAGGTGCCTGGCTGTTTTCCGGAGTTAGTCAGCCAGTGTTGTCCTGTGGGGGATCCGGTTGGGATTCTTTGCTGGGGTCCTCTTGGCTTCTTGTCTAGATTTGGCTAGCTACTCTTCCTTTGTTTGTTTCTGGTGATTCCTGTATTGGCGTTTGGGGGTTCCCTTATATTTCCTGTCTTGGAAGGAGTGCACTGTTGGGTGTTGTAATTCCCTTAGTATCATCTTAGGGACTGACCTTCTTTTATCCTCTAGATTGGCTTGACTCCTAAACTAGTCCTTGTGAGTTGGGAGGCTTCTCGCTTCTTTCTTCAGGTTTTGGTGTGGTTGAGGAGGGGGGAGGTTTCAGATGCGGGAGCCAGAGACGCAGGTGCTTGGTTCTCTCCTGGGTTTTGGCGTCGTTGTGTGTCTGGATTTTTTATATTATATTGCTTCATATTCCTTTTCCTGTTTCTGTAGCTTTGTTTTGGAATTTAGTTGTTGTTACGGTCCAATTCCGGGGTTGATTTGAAGATAGTCAGTCTCATCCACTTGGGGTTGCTTGATTCGGGATTTATGTTTCTCTTGTTCTGGAGTGCTTAATGCCTTGAGTGCTGAGAGTTCGATTTCTTTTATGCTTGGGGGAGTCATTCGTCATGGATCGTAGCTGAGGCTGTTGAATTCAGACGAAATTATTTCGGCATTTACTGGTTTGGGGCTCGTCGGGAGATTTCATCTAATATGATATGATTTGAATTCCTTCGGGAGGATGAGGTGGTCTTGTGGATTTGATGCCGTTAGGACTGTTCCCGCCTTCCTCTCGGGTGGGAGTAGAGTGTTTCGTGAGTTCTTAGTTACTTGTTGGGGCGAATATTGATAATAGTAGGATTCCTTGCTCTCTCGATAATTAGTCTAACCGCTAACTTGACTTACATGAGATGTTGATAAAGTCCTTGGGATACTTCTCTATTTATGGAATGGAGTGTGGCTGGCTTCTTTAGCTTTCACCTGGGTTATAGAGATATAGCTTAGGACCTTGAGATTTGGGGGAATGAAAGAGCTGTTGCTATTGTGATTTGGGGCAGTAGTAAGACTCAGTTTAGACTGTTTGGGATTATCATTCTTGTTCATTATTTTGGATTTGATTGAGTTCTGATAAGGTATCTATCTCCGTGGGTTTGGTGTGGGGACATTTTTTGTGCCACCAGGTAGTTCTGGTTCTCCTTTGACTTGTTCTTTTATTCTCTATTTACTTTAGATATTACCTGTTCTCTCACTTGGGTTTTTTTTTTAGCAATTAAACAATTTGTTCATTTTGCCAGAGGTGCAGTAGGACAGATTAATATCTCTTCAGGAGTTCGTTGCTAGTAATATAATGCGCCGATATCTGATCTTTCACTGCTGATTGGCCTTTATTAGAAATCTTAAGAAATTTTTTAATTGCATTCGATTATCAGTTCTAGCTGAGGAACTCAGATATACGACCTCTCATATAGCGGAGGTTACTAGGACGGCACAAAGAGAGTTAAGGACTAAATATTCCTTTTATATCTTCCTCTATAATCTATAAGGGGGGGTGTAGGATTTGATTTTGCCTAGATCTTGTGTGGATCTCACAATTATTCCACAATTATTATTTTAGTAACCTAATTACATGATCTTGGGTCCCGTTTCCGAGGGCTTGATCCCAGGCACTATCGGAAATGTATTCCAGATTAGGATAGAACACTAGGCAATTTTTGTGTTTTATCTATTAACTTTAAAACTTTACTAATTATTAATGTACATTCATATCATATAATACTTATGGGGGGGTAGAGACATTAATCTGTCGTTTCTTCGGTTATAGCACTCTCTCTTGATTTTATTTTAATATTTTTAATCCTGTTATCATAGATTGGGGCTGTCATAATATGAGTGATATACCATTATATCCTCTGATAAAGAACTAATTATACGTTTTATAATGATTTCATTATCTAATACGGTGGGAATCATAGGAAATATATCACGAGATTTTTATTTCTTGGACTAGAAAACGAGGTATAATTGTAGATGTTCTCGTTTCTCATTCTTGGTTCCTAAATATTAGCCGAACGAGAGAAAGGAATAAACAAATAATCGGAATAAATCCAATCATTCACTATGCCGATAAAATCTCCCTGGATTTCTGCTATATTAGCCTGTTCTTTTTAATCAATCCTAAAGAATAAGGGTTCTCGTAGGTAATATACTCTCGTGCTGAATTTTTAAAGTTAAAATGACAGAACAAGATGGGAAGCTGAGATGAAATAGGAAATGAACCCTCTCTTAATACGTCTAAAAAATAAATAAGAAAATCCTATACCCTCGTAACATGCCCAGAGTTATTTCTTAGCTTAATCCATAGATATGTTATTCCTTAAGGAGATGATATATCTCTTAGGACTATTACTTTAGTGATAGAGAAGAATACTCTTATCACATTAATTACACTCTGGAGGGATTATGCTTCGGAGGCACTGACGGAATCATAAGGACGTGAAGGGATCAAGTTTGTTCTTTATAGTAATCTTGATAAGGGGAGATGGTGGAAATCTTTCAGATGGTCCAGTCCATAACTAAATCAGTTCTCTGGTGGAGGGTGTTAGATATATAGAGTATAGCAGCTCATAAAATTCCAACCTATCTGAAGCTATGCTATGGGCGGGAGTTTTGAATATTCTTTACAGGTTTGTTCGGGAATAAGACTGGATACAACTCATAAATGGTACCACAGAATGTCTTCAGTATTGCTCTTAATAAAGCGCGCGAATATAAAAGTCTTGTTAAGTCACTTATCATCCTTAACTTTCGAAGTTTGCGCGGATATGACTAATTCCATATTCTATGGCTTAAGAATAATTCCACTCTGCTGGAATCGAACAATACATTCGGGTTTATACGCAGCCTGGCGGCTCTCAACATATACTGTAGTGTAGGCTTATTTGCCTTTGATGAAAACTCTCAATTTAAACTATGATAGTTTGGATTTTTGATTAAATTTAGTGAAATACGAATTTCAGTTGTCTATAATTCCTTAAAAAAACATATGTTCAGCTCACATTCCAATCTTCGCACCTCTTCTAAATGTAGTTTCACGTTTGAAGATGCACTTCCTTCTTCCTGTATTCGTCTATGGGGGCGCTCAAGCCTTATGGGTAGGTTCCCCACCTTTATATTTCCCTCTACATTCTGCCCGTTTCCTGGTGTGTATATTCTTCCCTAGGTTTCATTCTATTTAGGAATAACCGTTACTTTCTCCTTTTTCCATTTTGAGTCAAACCCGTCCTTTTTAAATTCATATATAATTT